CAAAGCTGCTCACGGAAGAGAAGCTGCCTTTAAAGGGGAGTTAATTTTCTTCCCTCTCATTTAGAAGGGGAGTAATATGTGATACACTTTCACAGAAAAATTTTGCACCTGCTCGCTTCCTCCATCTTCCTCCAACTAGCACAATGTCAACAGAATGTGGCAGCACTGAGTGTTCCTGCTCATGGTTCCAGCCAGCTGCGCCTTATCTTGAAAGCTCCAAGCCATTTCCACCCTGCCACAATAAAGAAACACAATTAGACACCCGTTCCTTGGATTTAAAAGACTTTCTGTGGTTGTTTTTACTGTTTTTAAGTGTGTCTTTCAACTATGGGGAAAGAGATGAACCTCAGTTGATGGAACTGTTTAGTGATATGAAACTGGCCTTTGGAAGGCTGATATAAGTGATGCAGAAGACGCACATGCGGAATTAGCAAGCCTTCTGTGAGTGAGAAGAAGGCCCTGATCAGCACCTGTGCGGCTATGAAGATCTTGCTCACATTCTCTCTGGATGCATCTATGAAGCTGACCCTCTTCCTCTTCTCACAACCACCATGGCATTTTTTATTACTGACACTGCACTTAGAGTACATTAGGAAAGTCTGCGAAAATATTGCACCCTGGAAATGGAAAGGCCCCAATCCATGGTGCTTCTTAAAATTATCTGTGTAGTAGGGTAGGTATTGACCAATATAGCAGTTTTATGTACTGCGTATTAGGAGAAAGGAAGGTAACACTATTGCATCTCATCTGCAAATATATTTGCACATATATCAAAGAAGTAGGTATCAAGTTCCCCAAACTCAGGGAGACATTCTCTTCCATACCTAAGAGATACCAAGCAGCCAGTCTTGCCTGATCTTGAAAAGCTAAGCAGAGTCAAACCTGGTTAGTACTTGGATGGGAATCCACGAGAAAATAGCAGTGCTATAGGCTAGGAGGGAAGTTGAAAATGGTCCTGAATGAATGCAATGGCAACCCCTCTTCCTCTTGCCAAAAAAAGTGTATCAATATCTGCATGAAGCAGCCAGTTTGACTTGAAAGAAATATTCCTTTATTTCTAGGGAATGAGTTAGGTTTAGGAAAAGTTGCCTGTTAATTAATTAACTGAAATCAGTGGGTTAGTATAGAGATTGGCTTCTGGTAATTTCAATACAGGTGGACTAAACTGATGAATTCTGCATCTCATTTCGTAGTTGTAGTTAATGCAGAAGAAAAGAAGAAAAGGGAGAAATAATTAAAGATCTTAGCCAATATTCAGAATGAAGGTTAATTAACATATTATAATTTCTAATTATATCTACTCAAAATTAAATTGCACTGAATGAAATGAGACTTCTCCCACATAAAGATGAAAAGGCAAAGATAATTTTTCTATTTTCCAGTTCTGAGCTATCTTAGCAATGTATCTTGATATACAGACGGTTCTTCAATCCTTATGAAAATATGTATGTAGTGAAGAGAAGTTGTTTGTGTCCTTTTTTGCTAGCTGAAATTTCAATTCTGTTCAAGGTAAAGTTCTCTCAGGAAAATGTGACCTGTGATGCCTATTTTTCAAATCATGAGCCATTAGATGACCATGCATGTAAGAACTTCTCAAAACAGCAGGAGAAACTGGAAATGTTTAATCTCAATATCTGATCTGTCCATGATTCATTTATCATCATTAATTTTCCTTATAATTATAATCATTATAATCAGTTATTCTCAAGTGCCTATTAGCTCTTTGTGGCAATGCCCTATGATTGGTTTGTAGCAATCTTTAAGCCACTCTTTTACATACCAATTATGGATGGAGGGTTTTGTCCATTCAAAATGGATCTACAAGCTGGAACCTGGGTCAATGGCTCACTTCATTAGTAGTTCCTGGAATGACATTGCAGCCTTAATATTAAGCAAGGTTATGATGGCACAGAACACACAGGAGAGAGGCGAACATATCAGTGGAGTTTCTTGTGCTACTGTTCATGTCCAGCTGTGACCCTTCCCCTTAAGTGCCCAGTATTTCCATGCAATGATTTACAGGAGCCCAACTCTGAAGCTGTGCCTAATGAACCAAGTGAATGAGATGAATAGATTCCTACTGTCAAATAACCACATGTTTTCTTTTTACTATATTGTTCAAACTCTCTTTTTTTATTGACATGGTCAGTTAAATTTGGTGCATTTCCTTTCGTTAACTTAAAAGTTGTGTTCTCTATTTTCATCTGAACCTATTGTGTCTCAGCAGAGTATAGTAATTTGCTGCCTTGGCCTGCTTGGCCTGCTGGTCTTTTCCTGCTTGTAGTGAAGTATGCTACTATACATAAGAATTTCAGTCATAGCGCATCAGTGATAAATCAGTAATCATTATCTAATTTTGTGAGGTTAACAAGGATGATGTATTGGGTGTCAATTTCTTTTTGACACCAGCACTCTTATAGTGATTATAGAAGCAGAAAGTATTCAAAATGTTGTACATAATCCAACCCCATTATCTCCTGAAGTTTGTTTGTTTGTTTGTTTATTTATTTATTTATTTTTCAAATTTGTATGCTGCCCATCTCCTCCAATGGGTTATCTTTAGTTTAAAATAGGCTTACTCAACCTGGGGCCCTGTAGTTGTATTGGGATTTCAAGTTCTAGAACTATCAGATTGGATGGGCATGGGGAATTCTTGGAGATCTAAAGCCAACATGAAACAAGGCCTAGATTATAATGCTCGTTATCTCTCATCTCATCATTTACCATGCTAGTTGGAGACATTTAGTCTAACAAGATATGTAGTCTAACAAAGGAAAGACTTTTTCACCTTTGATCTAAATATTGGTTGCATACGTTAAGGCAGTTTTAGAAATTCCTTACTC